AGAGACGTGAAGCGTCATCTCCATTTTCCATCGTGGACGTGACATGCATGTGTCTCTGTGTGCACCGGATGTGGTGCCCAGGTGGGTCCTGGCTCCAGCTCTGGGCCCACTGTCCTCTGCCAGGCCCCGTGACCACCTGCAGTCAGGCCCCGCTGGGACACTGGCCTCGTGCCCCATGGCCTCCGGCCCGAGGCACAGTCCGTATCTGCCTGCTCCGCCCCGGGTCGCTGCGGAGGGCAGGTGCAGGGGCTGTGCCGCTCACCCCCTGCGATGGGCCGGCCAGTCATGTTCCCAGGCCCCTCCAAGTTGGTACCTGGCAGACAGTGACCTCCGAAGGGGGGCGGCGATGACTCCGGCTGGCTGGTGCCAAGGCCCCTCCCCACCAAGGGCAGGGCGGCCCCCACGCTGCCCGACAGATCAGGCACAGCTGGGTACTTGTGGGCCTTCGCGGCCTCAGCAGTTTGTTCTCTGTGAGGGACAGTCCCTCACTGCCCACCCACGAGAGCTGGTGCCCTAGTCCTCAGACGGGAGCAGCCCGTCCACTTTCCTGGCCAGGGCCAGCCGCGGTGCCCAGGACAGGGTGCTGGGGACTATCGGTGGTGGATCAGGGTCAAGGTCAGGTTCCACCAATCTGGGGCCCCTGCCCTCACAGGGCCCAGCCGGGCCCATTGTATGGGGGACAATGGCTTCCTGAGCCAGGTTCCTCTGCCGACAGGAAGGCCATAAAGAGTCTCCACGCTGCCACCGCCCACGTCGCCTTTGAAGGGCCTGCAGCTTTGGAGCCAGTCCCTTGGCCCCTAACCTTTGCCAGCCCGGCTGGGGCCCAGGGCTCCCCAGGGAGCAGCCAACCCTCTCGGCACGTAGGCAGGGAACCTGCCTGCCACACGTGAAGCCTGGAAGCCTGACCCGAGAGCCCTCCCCACAGGAACCAGCCGGCCCCCCTGGCGTCCCCCAGGGGCCCGGGTACACGTGCAGGGCGGCTGAGTGTCCTGCCGAGGGGCAGCGCGGGGCCCCGATGTTGGCAGGCAGCTGGAGCTGCGGAGGGCACAAGAAGGGCCATCAGTCCTCTCGCAGGACAGGGCACAAGCCAAGTGTCCTGCCCCCAGCAGGGCAGGTCCTCCCCGAGCCCGGCTGCCCAGGAGTGCGGCTGCAGGATGGGGGCTGAGTAACAGGGACCAGCCCTGCGGGGGGGAAGGGGGCCACAACCGGGGGCTCTCCAGGGTGGCAGGCAGCTGGGGTGTCGTGTCCAGTGGGTTGCATACTGAGAGCCAAGATGGTCTGCTGGGCATGGCCGCGCACGGAGGGGCGGTCAGGAGGCCCGGGGCCGCGAGGAGGGTCCAAGAGGCCCAGCAGATTCCCAGGCTCCTGCCCTGCTGCACCTCCAGGGCTGGGGGCTCGAGCCACCTCCTCTCCGTGCCCATCTTTGTCGCCTTGCTGGGCAAGGGAGTCCTCAGGCCCAGGAAGGGACAGGGCCAGTGTATGGGGGATGGTGAGCCTATGACGCCCACGTGTGGTGAGGGCCCAGCCAGGTGGACCCCTCAGCGCTGTGATCATTGCCTTGACGCACCGTGGACAGACTGCACACCCAGGCTGACACCCTGCCACCTCGAGGCTCCCCGTCTTTATTATTCGGGGAATGCAGGGTTCCCAGGGGGTGGGAGGCCTTGTGGGACGCCAGACAGGCCCTGGCCTGGGCGCCCAAGTGGCCGCCGGGGGGCAGGGAGGGGTGAGGACAGATGGCTAGGTGCCCCGTCCGCCTGGCGGTTACATATGTGGCCTGCAGTTCGAGGCCCCGAGAGCCCCGCTGGGCCGTCTACAGCCTTGGGGGTGGCGCTGGGCGCCCTACACTCTTCCCAGGGTCCAGCTGCACCGACATGGGAGCGGGCAGCCGGCCTCAACCCGCACCCGCGACGGGAGCCCCGCACCCCACGCAGCCCCCGGAGCTGTGCGAGGCTCTGCCGCGAAGGCGCCACAGAGCAACTCCGTCGGTGCTGCAGCCGCCACGCGTGGACAGAGGGGCAGGGGACACCGGGATGCTGAAGGAGCAGGTGCACAGAGGTGTTGCTGCCACCCAGGCCTGGTCCTGGGAGGGCGCGGGGGCGAGGTGCTACCCCCACAGCAGGCACCGCAGGGCTCCCGTTGGGCTCCCTGAGCCAGAGGCAGCCCGTGGCAGAGCTCAGGCCCTGCCTCAGTGGATCTCCGTCCCTGGGGGCTGCCTAACCCCTGCCCCTCTTCCCAAAGGCCCACACTGCCCTCAGGAGGTTCTGGAAGCAGTGGGTAGACGAGCACTCCGGGGCCCGGCCAGGCCAGGCGCCTCTGTGGGGCTGGAGGAGGGCACCTGGCAGGGAGTGGCAGTGGCAGGGCACGTCGTGCCGGTCCATCGCACACGAGGCCGGGGGATGAGCAGGCTGGTGTGACCACGGCCGCTGCGGACGGGGGCTGGCCGGGCAGGTGTGGGGCGGTGGCCTTGTGGAGCAAGTGGACAGATGTCGTCCACTGGAGACAGCTCTTCCAACCTCCCTCCCACCCACCTGTCCCCGCCCTCCGTGCTTCTGCGGCCTGCTGGGGACACCAGGGTGGCCCTGGAGGCTCTGGCCGGGGCCCACCCACCCTGCCAAAGCCCTCTCAGACGGTAAACCCGTAGTTCCACCCCTACGGCTGGGAGGGGTGGCACCGCTGTGGGCCCCACAGCACAGCGCGGGGCGGGTGACCGGCAGGCGCTACACACACGGACACGAGCCCCTGGTCTTGGGCGTCCCCCTCCTCTCCGGGGAGTGGGTCCAGGGCAGGCCCTGTCACGGGCGCCCTGCCAGGAGAAGATGTGACCACAGCCCCCACCCCACTGGAGCCCGCCGGCCCACCCCGGGCCTGGCACCTGGAAGGGGGGTCCGGTGGCCACGTGAACGCGTACGTGCGCGTGCAGGGCGAGTATGCACCGGCACGAGGGGGTGGCTCACGTGTGAACGGGGGGGCGTGGGGACAGGCGTGTCCTTGTGCACTGCCCCCTGCCCAGGCTGGCGCTGGCTCGTCCATCACTCAAGCCCTCCCTACATGACTCTGGGGAGGGGGCCTGCTGGCCAAGCAGAGCTGGACCAGGGCGGGGGGCAGCGTGAACGGGGCCGGACATGTCTGCTTGCTGCCTGGGGACCCCACACAGGGACCCCGGCCTCGCTGGTGTTGGGAGGGGGCAGCGGCCCAGCAGGCCTGGGGCTCCAGCTCTGGAGGCTCAGGGACGGGCACGTGTGCGTGCTTACGGGTGGACACGGGCTCCGTAGACGGTCAGCACGGACAGGTTTCCAGGGCTCTGGGGAGGGGCTCGCACGTGGGGAGCAGGCTGCCTCCTCCCTGCTCCACCCAGCACTGCGGTGAGGTAGTGGAAAGCCCTGTGCTCTTCTCAGGACGAGCCTGCGGACGCTGGCCAAGCCCTGGCCCCCGGAAAGGGGGTGGCTGTCAGGACGCGGGCCAGGGAGGCCACCTCCGTGCCGACTTCTGTGCCCTTCGGTACCTGTGCTGCGGTTCAAGCAGGGCAAGCGGTCCACACGTGTCCAGGCACTGGGAAGGCGGTGGGGCCCAGGGTAGAAGCAGCCCACCGCCGAGGGGCCTCGCCAGCAGGGAACGGTGTGCAGTGAGGGTGAGGCGTCCCTGCTTCCACTGCTGGATGCCCCTCCTCGGGGCTGAACCCCAGCCTGAGTCAGGCCCCTGGCCCTCAGACACTGGAGTGGGGGCTCCTGAGGGCCCTGCCTCTCTCCCTGGCCCGGGCACCCAGGCCTCTCCAAGCTTTTAGGGTGCCCATTCCTGCCGCCGACCCTGCAGGGACACAGGTCAGGTGGTGGTGAAGCGGGTGCCGGGGGGGCCTGTCCCAGCAGCTGCAGGGTCCGCTCTGTGCCATGAAGACCCTGAAGGGGCTGAGCTTGGCAGAATGCCGGGGAGCTGTAGCCAGAGCCTGTACCCACCAGAGACAGCCCCCTACACTGTGCCCACAGCTGGAAGAGCCCCATGCAGATGTGGGACAGAGGTGCAGGCTGGCCTGCATGTCCCCCTCAAAAGCTGGCACACAGGGCACAAGGCCAGAAGGACCCTGCCGGCTGCTGGCCTGGGGCCTCATCCCTCACCAGCACCTTGGCCACCGCCAAAGCACGAGCCCCCCAGCACTCCCTCCCACCCGTGTGACCCTCCTCACCACACCCTCTCAGGGGACAGGTCCTTCCCACCAGCCCTTGCTCCCGGGCCCATCTCCAGCCATCTGGGGGCCTGACCCTTCCTGCTTCAGCCAGACACCTGCTCCCGGCCGTCCATCCCCAGACCTCCCTGCCCGTCCGGCCTCCCTGGGCTTCCTCCCCATTATGTCCCCTCAGCTCCGGGCCTTGGCCGTGCAGGCCACCCGGAGTGCTTGCATCTTCCCTCGAATCCCCTCCCCCTCCGCAAACCCCCTACGGGACCCCCTCCCTCCCCTGCTTTGCGGGCTCAGCTCTCCCACCGGCCTCTGCCCAGAAACCTGCTCTCGCCCCGGCTCCCAGCGGAGGCGTCCCGCCCGAGGCGTCTTGAAACCTGCCATGTGCGCCGCCCTCCACGGGCAGCCCTGTGTCCCAGAGGGCGACTCCATCCCCTCCAGAGCCACCGCTAGCCTTGCACCTGGAAGTCCCGGGGGCTCACCATCCCGGCCGGGCAGCCCGCACCCTGCCCCCTGAACAGCACAGTGAATACCCCAGAGCCAGAGAGCCGGTGCAGAGCCGCTGCGGCCAAGCCCTCCCTCCCATGGGGGGCCCCCAGCCGGGACAGCCCAAGCCACGGACACACTCGGGACTTCCTACAGCGGTGGGCACGAAAGGGGCGCTGATGAAGTCCAAGCCACGTGCCCATCATGCGTCTGACAACAGGGCCAGGTGCCTCTGTGCACCTCTCCCACCCCCAGTGGCCGGGCGCCCTGCCGTGGCCTTACCCCTCCAGGGCAGGCCACGGAGCCAGACGGGAAAGCACAGGCCAGAGCCTCAGTGGGTGTCTGCTCAAGTAGTGGCTTTTGTTTCACTGAACTCATGGTCCTGTCCAGCCTTCTAGGGGCCCGGTGAGCTGCAAGGTCCGGACACGTGTAGCCAAGGACCTCAGAATTCCCTACCTGCAGACTGCCACAACCTGGACATGGCCTGGCTCTGCCACTGTAGGGGTAGGGTGGCCAAGGCTGGGGCCTCGAGGGGCACAAGCATCTGTCCTGCCTCCCTGGCCGTGTCCAGAGCAGCGATGCCCACGCCGAGACCCTGAAAGTGGTCCCTGGGCCCCCAGGGGCGGTGGAGGGTAGCGGGAACCCTCCAGAGCAGTGCGGCCAGGCTCGAGGGCCCTCTCTGCCCACCATCCCTCTGCGGACCCTGAGCCAGACCCCAGCTCAAACAAGACCCCGCTCTGCCTGACTCCGGCTCGGTGCAGGGCCAGCCCAACACCCAGGCCAGCCGCACGGGCTGCGCAGGGCACCCCCAGGGCAGCTGTGCACCCGGGGGCGTGGAGCCAACCATCCCACGTCTGCTGAGAGTGCGGCTGACTCAGGTTGCCGGCAGCTGGGCTGCAGCCAGGCACGAGACAGTCCGGGTCCGGCTGAAGACGCAGCGCGGGAGGGGCTGGGTGGGGGCCGAGACTCCACTGGGGCAGCCAGTGGGGAGCTGCAGCGCCCCCAGTCCGGCACTCACTTCCAAGAGCGGGCCTCCTCGTGCTCGGTGTCCTCCCGCAGGACAGGGCGGTGCCGCCGGCGAGGGTTTCCGGGCTGCAAGACCCACATCTCCCGGGATGCACACACAGGTCCAGTCCCCTCGCGGGCAGACGCTCCTTACGGTGCTCCAGATGTGGTCCCGGCGGCGAGTGCCGAGCGGCCGTGGCGAGGGCTGCAGGGCAGGCGGGCCCGTGGAGGCCCCGTCTGAGCCCCGCCGGACGCTGCTGGCTGCAGGGCGGGCTCAGTAACCCTCATCCTCCTCGCCATCACAGCCGTAATCTGTGGGGCGCAGAGGACAGCGGTGGACACCCTGCGGCGCTGCCCACCCTCCTGGAGGCGCTCAGGCCCCCCCACCCTCGGTGAGGCCTGCCACGGCAGCGTCTTCACCTCCGCAGGGCCCTTCACCTCCCGGCAGAGCACCCGTGTGATGGGGGCGGCCCCCCCGCGGCACAGACACAGCTGACCAGCAAGCGTCTCAGTCCCAACCTCCTTCCGGAGTGAAAAGATTTCATCTGAAGCTGAGAGGTCAGAGTTTAGGGGATGGTCAGGGGCGGAGAGTTTGTGCCCTTTCCTCAGAAGCGCCCCACCCCACGCCACCCCGTGCCCGTCGCCCCTGACCAGTGTGCAGGGCCCCCTCACCATTGCTGCCCATCATCTGCAGGGCGCTGACACAGGGCTCCCCGTCCTCCTCGTCGGGGTCCTCCTCGTCGGGGTCCTCCTCGGGGTGGTAGGACACCGGCCCGCTTTCCACCACCGCTGCGGGCCTGTCGGGCGCGGCTCCCAGGGTGGGCAAGCTCAGGAGCGAGGTCTGCAGCCAAGGGGGGCAGGCTCTGGGAAGCTGCCTGCCCTGGGGGATGGGCGTCACAGCGCCAGCCTGGGCCCCCGCCGGCCCCCCGTCGTCTCCTGGACACTTCCCACCCTCAGAGCCCCCTGAGCTCCCAAGCAGCCCCTCTGTCCAGCCCGTGCACACCCAGGAACGCCCAGAAAGCCTCTGTTTCTGCTACGGGCCTCACAGCACAGCATGAGGCAGATGCAGCAGGCCTCTCCCTGCCGCCTGCCCCCAGGGCCCCTCCCCTGCCGCCCGCAGGCCTCAGGACAGCCGTGCACGGGCCAGGATAGCCCCCGGTCCCTCCCTGCGAGGGCCCCTGCCCCCGGCTGTGGCCACACAACATACCTCTCCTACGGCTGCCTTCTTGGCTGGCTGTGCAGACACCATGGGCCTCAGCCTAAAAGAAAGCCCAGGGTGGCGGCCTCAGCCCATGCCGCGGCCACCACTCCGCCTGCAGAGTGCACTGAGCGCCGAGCCCTGGGGTGGGGACGGGCGGCACTCCCTCTCCGACTCCGCTCCCGGGGCTCACTCTGATGTCGCTCTTCCCGGCGGACCCCGCAGGCCTCAGGCCCCTTACCTGTCCCAGCGCCCCCAGCAGTTCCGCCCCCTCTGCCGTGGCTCACCCCCACCCCGCGCCTACTCTGCTAGGGCGGATCCTACGTGCACACACCCCCTAGCCTGTGTTTGACACACATCCGCGTGCCCGCCACACAAGGATGCGTGAGTGACCACACCCGTCCCCTCCGGACAGCGCAGCAGGCCCTACTCACCGCCCCCACAGGCCAAGCGGTGACGTGCGTGAGCATCGCCACCACCCCAGGCCTCGGCGCAGGCCTGGGAATGGGGATGGGAGAGGGGTGGCTGCCAGAAACTGGAAATCAGGGTTTTTCTATGAAAACTTCCTTTTTAATGTTGGCAGTTCAAACGCTATGTGGGTCAATGGGAGACAGCCCTGGGCAGATCTGATGTATGTTTGTCATTTGATGAATAAAAACCTAAAATCAGGGGCGCCTGGGTGGCTCAGTGGGTTGGGTATCTGACTCCAGATTTCAGCTTAGGTCATGATCTCAGAGTTGTGAAGTCTGCTTGAGATTCTTTCCCGTTCGTCTCCTTCCCCCCTGCTCCTCCCCCTGCTCACGCTTGTGCGTGCTCTCTCGCCCCCCTCTCCAAAATAAATAAATTTTTTTAAAACGTAATCTAAAATTGTACTGCCTTGGGGCTCTCCAGTCTGTCTGCCCAGCTGTTCTCGGTCAAGGTTCTGGGTGGTCTGCTTCAGGAAGAATGTGTGGGGATGGCAGGGAGTGGCCGCAGCGGGAGGCACCTCCCCCGGGCCACCCTCGGCCCTGGTCATCCCTATGGCTAGAGAAGAGGAGAGGCCAACAGGGAGGTTCTACTCTCCCTCCTCCAGACCCTCCAAACACAAAAAAAGCCAGGACACCTTCCACACCATCCCTTGCAAGGAACCAAGAGAGACAGCATCATACCCACATTCCTGGGATGTTGACCTGTCCAGGGTGGGACCCCCCCCCCCCCCCCGCCCCCCCGCCCCCGAGAGGAGGCAGGTTGTCCTTCCACGCCCTGGCCATGGACACCGTCCAGGCTCAAGGACCCTGCCCCAGGGCCTGTGGGGGCAGAGGCATCCAGGAGGGGCTCAGAAGACTGAGAGATATCCACCACTGTGACATGCCAAGAAGCCCTGGGGACACTGGGAATGGATGCTCCAACAGCTTCCAGCAGGTGGACAGGCCCTCCGCAGCAGGGGCTCCAAGCTCTTGTGGGAGGCTTCCATGGGCTCATGCCACCGCAGCGACCCCTCAAGGCCGCACAGAGTCCAGAGCCACCTGAGCGCAGGAGGCAGGAAGCTGGCCCTGTCCACCCACCCGGCTGCACAGGGGTCATGGTGGTCAGTGAGGCAGCCAGCAGGGGGTGTGGGGGTGTGTGTCTGTGTCTGGGTCCCATGCCCACCCCCCACCCCTTCCAAGCAGCCCCGGCAGCTGTTTGTGCCCCGTAGGAGGGCCTGCGGACACCTGGAAAGCACGCTCCCCTCCTGGGCCCATAGCGCCGCCCGCTCACCCTCTCAGCCTGATGGCAGACACACTAGGATGGATGGGGCGCAGCTGACCCATGAGACAGGCTTGCCCACACACTGTCCCCTGGCAACCAGAGGCAGAGCCGGGGCTCCAGGAAAGCAGCCCCCTGCACCACAGACAGGGTGATGCACCCCCTCCAAGGGGCAGTCTGAGAGGAGGGGGACCCTGTGGTCCAAGGGCTCCCGAGGGCTCAGGGTCCCCTAGCTGCTTCTCACGGTCTGAGAGTCCACTGAGCAGGCGGAAGCCAGGCTGGGGGTGCATCTCCCCAGGCCCCAGACCACAGTCAGAAGGGAACACAGGGATGCCAGACAGTGACAGGCTGTGCTGGGTGCTCGGGGACTCAGGGGCTTGGGGAACGAGAAAATGGAAGGCTCCGCTTACAGAAAAAGTGTCACAAGGGGCACCCAGCTGGCTCAGTTGGAAGACCTTGTGACACTTGATCTCAGGAGTTGTGAGTTCAAGCCCCATGCTGGGTGTAGAGATGACTTAAAAAAAAAAAAAAGTCACAAAACCATGAAAAACGTTTACTCTGAATTACGAGAAAAAAAGGCAAACTAGAACACTTTTCCTTCTCAGACGAATCACGGTTAGAAGCTGCTAATGACGGGTATCTGGGGAAGAGGTGGGTGGGAGGCAGCCAGGCCGCCCCTCCAGGCAGCCCCTAAGCTCCCAGGCCAACCAGGGGCAGCTCTGCACTGGGTGCATGACCTCGAGGACCAGCTCAGGCACGGCCGGGACCCTCAGGACCACAGTGCCTGCCTGCAGCCGCCCGAGGGCAGGCCCCAGCGCGGGGAGCCGTGCAGAGCTGCCTGGACCTGTCTGTGCAGGGCGCTGCCCCACCAGGAGAGGCACCTGGCCACAGCCCACGGCTTCTCTCCCGTCCTGCTCACCCCCTTCGGCAGTCTGCTCTCTGCCCTTCCTTCTCGGCAGCCAGGGGAGGGGTGCACAGAGGGCCCCTCCCAGGAAAACAGACTGGCTCACCTGCTCCCTGAGACAGAACACACCCTGCAGATGGGGGGCCCCCTCCTCAGCCCCCAGCCCTGCACACAAACAGGAGCCAGCCAGGGCAGCGGGTTCCGCGTGAGACCCAGCATCCAGGTGGGGACTGCACCCCCAGGCCTCCCGCCCCTGCCCAGATGCAACGCCTGGCCTGCCTGGCGCGGTACCTTTTCCCCACGCTGCTCATGGAGTCAGTTCCGTTCCTGCCGGCAGGCATCTTCCTCCGAGACAGCTTCCGGGCACTGGCCCGCTCCTCGGGCTGCGCGTCCTCCCCCTGCAGGCTGCCCCCACCCTTGCTGTTGAGGTCCCGGAGCACGCTGTAGTTGATCTTGCTGGAGATTTTCTTCTGCTCCAACATCTTTTCAATGGCCTCCCCGGCCGTGCTGGCCTGGATTGGCTCCCGTCGCTTACAAGACTTCTTGGGCTCAACGGAAACAGAAGAGTTACCGCCCCCTGGGGATCTCAATGCCCACAGACCTGCTAGGTGCCTCGTGGAATGGGAGGGGCACCGCCAGTTGGACACCGTGGGGGGAGGGGCCGGGCAATCAGAGTCTGCTGGGGACCCCTGGCCCCAGGAGCTGAGGTGTGCAGGGCCCGGGCCCCCAGAGGACAGCTCCGACCTTCTCCTCTCATAAGGAGGAAGCCAGCCCCCGGCCATCAGCGGGGGAGCTGTGGGCAGGTCTCAGGGTATGCGGCCAGCTCAGTGAGCCCCTCGGGAGGGGTCACCCAGAAGCAAACGCTGAGCTGCCCACGAGCCCGTATGGACACCTGGCTGTGCTGGACTCTGTGGCCACCCGAACGGGGCAGAGTAGGGTGCCGTGCTCGGGATGGGTCACCCAGCACGGAGGGACCTCGTCCTGGGTACTGCGCCACCTACAGGAGCCCAGCTGTGCCTCCTGCCCACCAGCCTGCCCACCACGCTGCTAGGGACCCCAAGCCCTGACCCCAAGCTGTAGGCCCTCCTCCGGAAAGGTTCCTGAGCAGACCAGTGACCCGGTCTGGGCATGCCTGGCTCCTGCCTTTCTTGCTCAGAGGCTCAACCACTCCCCAGCTCAGCCTTGCAGCCAGAGTCCCCGTCCAGCCACACAGAAGCAGCAAGCCACATCTCTGTGACCACCCATAGGATGGGCGTGACAAGCAGGCTTTCCCAGGTCCCAGACAGGGTCCCAGAGGTGCAGCAAGGCCCTCAGTGGAGGAACTGCCACCCTGGGGGCCCTCACAAGACTTGGGGAGGGGCAAGGCTGGTCTCCACACACATCGAACGAGCCCTACCTTGTGCTCCTTGTAGATGCCAAGCTCCTTCTCCTTCGCAATTCTTGCTTCTTTCTCTAAAAAGTCCCCAAATGGCAGGATCAGCAGGGGCCCTGGAGCCCAGGACCCTTGGTAGGTGGGCGGGCGCTTACCCCTCTGCTCCCGCAGGTACTCGGCGTTCTCCCGCATCCACAGCTCGGCCTTCACGCGGGCTTCCGCCTCGTTCAGGATGTACTGGGCAGAGCACAGCATCACACTCAGGTCTCGGCCACCAACACGCTTGCCACACGCACAAGCCGGTCAAGGGTGGGCCTCTGACCCGCAGGGCTGCACGCTCGTTCCTGGGAGCCAGTCAGGGACATCTGTCCTCCCCCACCCTTTCCAAGGCCGATAGCGGGGGCTGTGTCCACAAACGGGCACGCGGACATAGGGGCCGGGCCAGCCAGAGTACGCGGACATGGCCGCCTGGGGCCCCTGACGGCACACAGAGTGCATGCGGACGCTCACCCTGTCAATCTCCAAGTCGTCGATGCCACTGAGGTCCAGCTCGCCATCCCCACACCCGTCCGCTACGGGGAAGCACAGCGCCAGGGTCATTTGGGGTCAGGTTCTGGTGAGCAAGCGTAGACGTCCCCTGGGCGGTCTCAGGACCCCTTCCAGGGTAGGAGGCCCCTCCTCTGGGACCTCGGCTCTGGCCACGGGCTGAGGGAAGCCCCCTCGTCGCTGACAGGCCCTGCTCCATGTGCACAGTGTGTGGCTTCCACCCCAGGACTGCGTGCAGGAAGGACGCTAAACCAGAGCCACCGGACCTCGGGACTCCCTACGACAGAGGCGCCTTCAGAGCAGGAGAGCAGGCTGTCCGGCTCTCCACCCACCGGCCCAGGAGATAGACCCTCAGCGAGTCCTCAGTGAGTCCTCAGTGATGTGCTCAGGATGTGCTCTGGACATCGTCAAACCCTGCTGGCCACCCCCTTCGTCCCCGCCTGGGTCAACAGTACAACCTGCACAGCCCGGAAATTGGGGGTGGCCCGCCTACACCCAGTGGGCTAGGCGGGATGCTCTGCAGTCAGGCCCCGGGCAGGCTCTCCTGATGCTCACACTCTGCTCATACCCTTCCTTGGTTCCTACAAGAACGGTCTGTCCCTGCCTTGGGGCCTTTGCACGGGCCCTCTGCCCGGTCCTCCGCGGGACTCACCTCGTAATACAACCTGCATGTGCTTAACTGACGGGCTCAGGCTGCGCCGTGTTGCGGCCCCTCCCACCCGAGACACCACTGCCATCAGGGCAGATGCGTGCCTGCTCGTCACCCGGCTCAGAGGCACGTGATAAACGTCTGTGCAGCGCACCCTCATGGGGGCCCCTGGCACACGGAGGCCAAGCCCTAGGCGCCCAGGGACAAGGCAGGGCCTGTCTGCAGCCTGGGGACACCTGAGGGGGGTCAGTCCTGGCAGATGGCCAGAACCCGCTCTCGGCAATAAAATGTGGCAAAACCAAACGGGCCTTCCTCCCAGAGCTGCCAGCACCCCAGGCCATCCTCCTGCTCAGACACCCCCACACTGCCCATGCTGGAGCCTGGCGGGTGATATCGGGCCATGCGTGGGGGCTGTGCCCTCAGGCAGCACTCGCCCTTGGCTCAGAGAGACGCAGGGCGGGCAGGGAAGCCAGTCCCTGTCCCTGTGCAGGAGGCTTCACACGGACAGGAAGGAGCCTGCGGCCACAACCCAAGCAAACAGAGGGCTCCGGCCGGGCCCTGAGCCAGTGGGCCAGTGGACAAGGGTTCTGGAGGCGGCAACAAGCCCTGATGGGATTCGGGGTGTCCGCACACGCTGGGGTCAACAACGGCTCGCACCACCCGGCACGGCGCCCCTCCCCTGCCCACCCTTCCGTGAGGCTGCACCCCAAAAGCAGCACCTCCATCTTCCACAGATGGGGAGGGGTACCGCTGCACCCGCCAGAGGAGCCCCCTCCCTCTCCCCATCCACCACCCATCCCCGGGCCTCCCAGGCACTCACTGGGGTCCTGGCTCTGGGAGGAGATGCACTCTCGGATGGAGTCCGAGATGCCCAGGCTGGCTGCCGTGGGCAGGGGGCCGAGCAGGGACTCCAGGGCCGGGGGCCCCCTGCCCCCCTCGGGGTCTCCTGCCACCTCGGAGCTGCTGGAAATGCTGCCACCAAGCAGCTCTTGGTAGAAATCCTTGTTCAGGTGGCTGGCGACAGCCTCCAGCTCCTCATCCTCGGGGTCCTCCTCACCAAATAAGCTGGACGTGGAGTCCTCGACGGAGCCTACGACACAACGTCACACAGCCTGTGAACCAGGCAGAGCGCCAGAGCCCCACCTCTGTGCAGACAAACACGGCCGTCGGCTGCAAAAGGCATTTACTTCCCTAACTTCAGTGACCGAGACACACCTTGTCACCGAGGCTGCCCCACGTCCATGCACCCACGAAAAGCCCTTGGCCTACACACCTCACGCTGCACGGAAATTAACTTAAAATAAACAGAACAGCTGAGAAAGAAATTTCCCATTTGGAAAACGATGGCAGAAAACACCTGTGGCTTTGAATTGGGCAAAACTTCCTGGACGGGACACTGACAGCAACCCCTAAACCACCAAGCAGGATCGCGTCAAACGAGACCTCTGCCCTCCCATGAGCGCCGTTGTGTCTGGAGCACGCAAAGAACGCTCAGGGCTCCGTGAGACGAAACCACGCGACACGACCAAACCCCGGCAGAAGGCCTAGGGCGCCACTTCCCTCCCACCAGGCCAGGAGCAGCGCCGGGAAGCAGCTCCCACCCTGGTGGGGCACGCACAGCCTGGCTGCATCAGAGAAGGCTGGGCGGCTTTGCGAAGGCTGGGGCGCACGCCCAGGACAAAACCGAGTAAACGTCCACACGGACACTCGCGCACGAACGTTCACAGTGCCGTGTGTGCAACAACGCAAACCTAGAAACACCCCAAATGTGCTGCAGTCCGGCTGGCTCAGCCACCTGCGTGCGTTTAGGGCACCACAGACAGGGAGCTGTGCTCGCCGACCAGAGCCGTCACCCAGAGCACGGCGGCCAGAGGGGAATCTGGACACGCCACGCCATCCCACGGACACGAAACTCCAGAAAGCACGACTGACTCTGGGGGCAGCGAAGGCCTGCGGGTCCTGGGGGTGCACATTCACGATCTCGGCCACCGCAATGACTTTGTGATGTGCACGTTTGTCGAGATCTACCAAGGGCTGCATTTTAGATTTGCGATTTGTCGTACGTGAATTACGCCTCCAAGAAATTTGTTAAAAACTCACCCAACAAAATGGTTAAGTATATCTCAGAATCCCTTACTCCAGTTTTTAACGTGCAATACTGAAAGTTCACAGTAAGCACCAAGGCTCCCACAAGCACGAGGACGTTACATCTGCGTGAATGTTTCTCTGGAGGCAGAAAACCGTCCAATTCCCTGTGAGCAGGAAAATCGTGTAGGGTGACCTTCCGGATAAATCTGCCGCACCTCTGCCCTGAGGTCTGCGCACCCCTGCCTGAGGGCCAGGCCCAGGCCTCGGCTGCCGCGTGCCCTGGACGTCCGCACTCCCGTCCTGTCAGCTGGGCCCCGGGAGCACCTGCAGAGTCCAGCCCCCCCGGGCTGCATCGCTCCCGAACCCCTGCCACTCTCACAGCCGACTCTCCCCTTCAGCCTGAGTCAGACCGTGTTGTCCCCTTGGCCCCCGTTTGGGACCCCCTATGGCCCCCGCTGCACCCCATGTGAGCACCAGCCTCCCCCCATGCAGCTGCAGGGCTCCCTCCCTTCCCCAGGCCTCTCCCGAAACACTGCCTGCCTCTGCCGGTCCCTTCAGTACTGCGTGTCAGCTGATGGCCCTGCAGGGAGGCTGGCAGGAGGGTGGCCCACTGCCTGCACCACCATGGCACGTCGTGGGAGCTGTGGCCTCCTTGTCAGTCAGACCTCCTGTGACCCAAGGCAGCTGGACAACCCCACCTAGTTTTGGGCTCGGTCCAGACAGAGGGGATGAAACGTCTGCCATCCCGATGACAAAGAAAGGGTCTGGACAACCAGACCATGGAGAGCTAGGAAGAGGGATGCGTCCCTGACGTTCTCGTCAGAAGAAAGGGTGTGAGAAGCTGAGCCCAGGGCAGGAGGCAGGGTGGCCTGCTGGTGGCAGAAAGCCGGCCAGCTTCTTAGCAGCGGGGCAGTGCACGCAGATGCTGCCCAGGAAATGGCATGAAGAAAACCCCGGGTGCAAAGCCAGGCCCCCCCCGAGTGCAGAGAGCACCACCACCAAGTCACAGGCGGATGGAGACAGGCTCCGACCGCTAGAGAAGCAGCGCTTCTGGCTGGGGCACGAAGCAGCACCCAACCCCGTGCTGGCCGGAAGAGGAGGGCCCAGCGGAGGGGCCGGGCCAGGGAGCAGAGCAGAACGTGCACCCTGGCAGAGGGACCCCACATCCCCCGGAGCCAGACTCCACACACGCGCCCGCCCATCACAGAACGGCAGCTGCAGGTGTCGTAGTGGGGCAAGCCGTCCTCGAGGGACCACGGGCATCCCCAGCCACAGACACAGCCGACCACACGCCCACGCACGGCGATAAGTGTGGACGTTTACACGGTGACCAGAAAACAAAAGGTACCCCCCCCCCGGATGGTAAGTCCCCCCTGGGAACCTCAGCATCAGAGAGAAATGAGCCGAGACCCCGAGCAGCACAGAGCTCCGGTGCGGCTCATGGGTTTCCTGCACGCATACGCCCGAAACGCCTGAGCAAACCCGTCAAGCAGCGACCCCGAAGGTCAGAACGTGTGTGAGGCCGGAAGGGACAGAGGGGGAAGGGGCAGGAGCCGACTCAGCAGACAGGAGGCCGCATGATGAACGAATCAATGCAAACGCAGCACTCGTGAGAAATCAGTACAAACCAGAACACAAAACCAGGTAAACAAATGGAGAAAAAAAACACACTCACGCGACTGACAAAATCAAACACATCCCGAGACGTGGCTTTGCCCAAGTCCGTGCAGACCGTGTGTGGGCCGGATGCCAGGCGCCCCCGGGGGGCAGGTCGCACTCACTGAGCCCAGGAAACCCTACGTTCTCTCCCCAGGCCCTGCAGAAACTCACCGACAGCCAAGGAAACACCCAGTGAAAACCGTGGGTGGGCGCATCCATCTCAGGGCAACGTGGCACCTCAGCCCAAAGCCTGCACCATGTCCTGGGCGGCACCCGGGCCACGTGCCCACTGCCACCACTGCGACTCAGCAGGTGCTGGGGGGCCCGGCCATGGCCTGGGCGTTGGGGGACATCAGGGGCCCGAAGGTCGGTGGCAAGCACAAAGCACCATTTTTTTGTAGAAGACACGACTGCTCACGTGGAAAACCCAATGACCAAGCACGTACCCTCAGAAGAGCGGAAACAGAACTCCTGACCCACAGGCACACAGAAGCGGCACCTGGAGCAGCACCGAGCAGCCAGACACCAGGGGAAGGACACCGCTCACGGCGGCAGCACAGGGCAAGGGGCTTGGTCCACAAGGCAGCTGGGGAACACCTATGGGGCGGGAGATGCCCACTCTTGGGAGAGGGTCAACGGGGCGCTGGGCCAGCCAAGCAAGAGGAGTCTCAGGAGCAAGTGAGGAAATGAGTTAAGACCGCAGACCCTGGGGGAGCAGCGGGCAGACTGTCGGAGACGTGGGCAGTAAGCGTGGGCTCCGACACCAGCTCAGCACCAGGCCGGGCAAACCAGAGAGACGGTACAGCGGGGCCCAGCTGCAGACCTACAGACGGGGCCGCGAGGACTGGGAAGGAAGGTGACGTGGGAGCGTCCGGGAGAGAGAGGAGCACAGGGTGCGGAAAAGATCCACGCAGAACACGCACAGCAGCTCTGTGATGCCCCAGGCTGGAAACAGATGCGTGGCAGCCACGACGGGGAGGAGGTAGCCCCGCAGCAGCCGAGGAAGGCACACAGCGGGCAGCGGCAGAACAGTCTGGAAGGAAGATCTGGGTGCTGAGGAGCAGCTCCCCCCTGAGGGCTAGAACCTGGGGGAACGGGGGGCGGGGGGGGGCAGCTGGACACTCAGCACGCAGCACGCCAGGGCCAGGAAGCGGCCGGCGGCCGGGACCCTGTAAAGGAGGAGCCCGCGGCCCTGGACGGGTGGCAGCAGGTAGGGGTGGAGGTCAGCCGGCAGGGCAGTGCCTGGCATGGGTGACACGAGTGGGGCCGGCCCCCCAAGGCCGTGGGGGACACGGCTGGACTCACCATCCCTGGTCAGGTTGGCAAGGGCCCCCTTCGCCTTCGGCCGGCTGTTCTCCAACTCGTTCTCGATGGCATCCTGATAGCTGGATATCTCACCTGAAGTGAGTGACGGCACACAGTAAGCTCAAACCCACTTCTCTAGGGACCCCGGGGCGCCTGTCACCGCGAGATCAGTCGGTTACCTTCAACGTCCTCCAGTTTCTTGGAGAGGACTTGCTCAAGCTGAAACAAAGCAACGAGAACGTTCAGCAAAGAGACAAGGCGGCCATGTGGGGAAGCAGCATGCTTCACAGTGCCCAGGGTCCCCAGCCCTCCAGGCACACGCACCCCACCGGTGCCCCACAGGAACTGTACCTGGAGCACCCAGGACGGCTGCAGGGAAGGCATGGGGCCATCGAGGGACCTGGCACCCTGCATGCCACCCCCCAGCCAGCGGCAGGGGTGCCCCTCCTGCACCCCCAAGGCTCATCCCCTAACCCCACCCGTCTGTCCGCCTCTCCCTGCACACCGTGTGGACACAGACCCAGTCTGGCCTTTGTAACTAAGCCACTTGTTTCAAAATAAGAGCGAGACACACGACATCTGGAAAACGCCGCGAGACGCCGTGTGCTGCAGGGCCGGCGTGGCCAGGCCAGCGTGGGGCCCACCTGCTTCATGCGCAGCTTCCGCTGCCCTGCCGTGTACGAAGGGGGGTCACACTCCCCCTCCAGGTCGATCTTCATGAACTCATCCACGGTCAGCTGGCTTGTGGGCGTGTCTTCAAACTCTGTCAGCCTGCAACAAGAGGGCCCCTGGAGAGAGCCGCCGGCAGCCCGGCCACACTCAGCCACAAGCCCTACTTGCCGTGGCCAACAGCGGGGCCCCGGGGAGGAAAGGCTACGCACACCTGTCGCTCCCACTGGGGACTCAGACAAGGCCCAGGCGGAAGGAGGCCAAGCCGGCAGCCCTAGGTGGTCACCACCTAAAGGTTAATTACTCACGCCTTACACGACCTACAAAATGTTTAGATTGGGAAAAAAATTCTTTTTCAATAGAAAATTTTTAAAGAGAATTAGAGGTCAAAAATCCAAAATGCTTTTCTTTCTGCCTTTGAAAAGTGCCGCAGGATACGATCTCACTTGAGAGACCGCCACCAGATGTGGCAGACTCTAGGCGAAAACACCGCAACGACAGGCGTGCCACCGATCGGGCTCGTGACTATCCCACTACAGCCGACGCTGGCGCTGAGCTCCGCCACCCCACCAACACCGCACCCCAAAGCAGGGGCTTGTGGGCAGCTGGCCCTCTGCTTGAGCCTGGCTTGCCCAGGGGTGGGGCCAGTCACTGGGGCTCTCGGTCCACCCCAACCTACCCCAACCAACCAGGGGTGCAACAGCCCCACTGCGTGGCGCCAGGAGGACTGACCAAGACCCAGGAGGGAGGCGGGCAGCCCCTCCAGCACCCGGGCTGTCCTGGGTCCTGGCCAGACCAGCAGGTGGCAGGACCGTGGACGTGGGTCTGACCAGCAGACAGAGGAAGCCACGAACGAGAGCCACCCACCTCTTGCGCAGTGTGGACTCGCACACCTTGACCACGCTGATGACCTCTTTGACGGTTCTCCGGAAATCGTGCATCCTGGCTGCAACCAGAAGTGCTGGAGAGGAGCGCAACGGGGAGTCAAGCCTCGGGATGGGGTGGTGAGACCCTGCCCGGGGGCCTGTAGGGAGCGAGGCCCCGGCCTCATGGTGGGTAACGGTTATGCAGTGTGTGCAAGGGTCCCAATACCCAAAAGCCACTCACTGCTTGGTGTGCAACTCCGCCATGGTTGAGAATCACAGAAAGTGCTGTGTCGCACGTTCTGTGTCAAACAGAGAGAAGGAAAACCACATCTAGAACTCTGTGTGACCCCTCACAGTCAGTGAGCCAACTCCGAGGTGACCCAACCAAGCACACCAGCTGGCAACGGAGGTAAGGATTCTGGAGACACGGCCAGGCTGGGGAGAACAGGCACTGGGCCCCGTGTGGTGGCCACAGCCGGGCGGACCAGGAGCGGTCCAGAGTCGGCAGCACACTGGGAGATGATTTTTGCTGGTAGCTGAGCGTGGGAACGCAGACCCTTGGCATTCCAGGAAGCACTGGAGCCCGGGGGCGGGGGGGGCGGTCGTCGAGAGGTAAGGGCCACCAGAAAGGAGGAAGGGCCTGCTGGGGAGGACTCCAGGCCCAAGGGCTACGTCAGACCCCAAGGCATCGGGGACAGAGCTGGAGGACACAGAGGGAGACCGGACAGCTACCCTTTGGGGGACTGGGAAGTACCCTCTGTAGTAACGACTCGGCACTGGGGGCAGAGCAGGGCTGGCCGCACGGGAGCCCTTGAGGGCCAGGTTAGCTCTGGAGACAGCCCACCCCATCCACGGCCAGCAGGGCCTGGCCAGCCTGACTCCGGGGCTGTCCTACCTGCTCCGCAGAGGCCTGAGGGGCGCCGGCCAGTGTGCATCCAGTCCCTCTTCATCCTCTGCAAGAGCCTCAGGGCCGTCATGGACACCTCGTGGTTCTTCTCCCCAAACTCCAGCAGGTGGGCAAAGCGTGGGATGTACAGGCACGGGTCTGCCGCAGACACACGTGCCTCAGTGCCGCCCAGGACGCATCCACCCCCCGCTCAGTAGGCTTCATGGAATGTGCGTGTTCCAGATCCGGGAGGCACACGAAAACCACACAGCGCGATACCCACCCTCAGGGTGACCCTCCCAGTCCGTCCACTGCACAGCTTCCCTGATCCTCGGCTGGGGGCTGCTCGCCCACATCCCTCCCACAGCTGCCGTGTGGGGTCACCCCACGTGCTTGTGTATGCGCATACACACTACCTTGCTGCTTTGTTCGGCGTTCTGCGGATCACGACTGAATCAGAGCCTGTTTCTTACCTAACTCTCACGAAACATGAGCTGTATTTTCTGCCCTTTTGTCTACAGGCATGCAAGCAGCTCTTTAAACAACCATACGTTCCTTAGCAAGGGAAGGCTCAGGAGGGACCCATGCATGCATGCACACACACACTCTCCGTCCCTCGTGCCCTGCTCCCTGGAAGACCCCTGGCCTAGGCTTTAGGGAGAGTCCAGCTGCCAAGTAACCTCATGAATCCAGCAGCCTGCTGCGCTGCCACAGGAGCACGGAAGGAATCATGCAGGGCCCCCGACAGAACCTCAGGGGCAAGACTTGCTTTGGACAGGCTCACTGGGAAGGCCTCGCTGAGGCTTGAAGAGGGGGTGCCCTGAGGGGGCCACGAGCCAGCCAGAAAGCAGCCATGTGCTAGCAGATGGTGACCGGCAGGACCCTGCTCTCCACCAACACCAAGCACCCCTCTTCGGGGCCTCGGCCCAATCACTTCTCCCGGCCTCCCGGCATCTACATCACTGAGCTCTGGCCCCTGGAAGTCCCATGTGGGGCTACAAGCACCCCTTCCTCCCTCTGCCCGTCTTGGCTCACATAAAGGACCATGGGAGATGGGCAGCAGCCCCTGAGGCAGCCTGGGTCCCCAAGGACGGCAAGGACCTGAGGGACATCCCCCACACCAACTGCAGGGGCTGAGCTGGCAAGCGGCTGCCACTCATCCACCTTTCCCTGAGGCCCTGGGTGCTGCGGTCTCTGGAAAGGTGGGTCCTGTGCTGGGCAGGCTGGACGGCAGGTGGAGCTCTGGTGGGGCAGCAGGACCGAGAGGCGCAGCCCAGCACAGTCTCCTGGTGCATCTGTGTCCAAACTGTCCCGAGCAGCTTCTAGATGTGCGGGCGTGTACTTCAAGAATTCAGCAGTGTCAAAGCTTTCACTTCTGGCTCTGGTATTTACATTTCATCGAAAACAGTCTAAAACCCTAGTGATATTACTTCTGAAATATTTCTGTTTTGTCCCCATAATACGTCTCTTAGCAACCCCATCACAAACAAAAACCCAACCAAACAGAAAAAGGCCCGTGGCAGAGGGGTGCCGTCGCTCCAGACTGCCCAGGCTCAGAGCCGACCGCCTGTGGCGGGCGGGTTGAGAGAACACTCCGACCAGATGGGGAAGGCAGACCCTGTACAGGGAAGGCAATAAACCCCAACACATCACACAGTCTAGGCGAAACCCTCTCACCAACTGGAAGAAAAAGGCAAAACCCAGGACGCGCTGTTTACAAGAGACACTAAAGCGTGAGATGGAACGTGACTCGCCACCCAGGAGAGAGGGTGGTGACACGGCTGCAGGGGCGCGGGGCAGGGGGCCCTGAAAGGGGCTGAGAAGAGGACTTTATGCCAGAGCGCAAGCCACCTCACAGGAGGCCACTACACGCCTGTGGACGCATCCAACACAACGGCAACTAGAACGCAGCAGAGGGCGCTGGAAACAGCAATCCGAAAACCACAGCCGTGTGAGATTTAACACGGTTCTGTCCAACTCAACAGACGGTGAAGGGGAAAGGACAAAACGAGGAATGGGTTGGCATCACCGCCGGCTCCGTTTACTCAGGACCCTGCAAAGAGGAGCCATGCTTCTCCGAAGCCTGTGCAGCAGGGAGGAAAGCTCGAGAAACCGCAGGGAGGGAAGCCTCCCAGGACGCTCCGCCGCAAGGGCCCAAAGAGTACAAATTAGCAAAGAAGGGAGACAAGTACGATCCCCTCCCCTCCAAACAGTGACCAGGGCGCCTGGGTGGCTCCCTTGGTTAAGGGTCTGACTTGGGCTCAGGTCATGATGCCCCAGTCGGGCTCCGCGTGGAGCATGGAGCCTGCTTAACGTGCTCTCCCTCTGCCCCGGCCTCGTGCTCGCTCGCTCTCAAAATCCCTAAAGACAGAAACGATGAACCAAAACATTAACAAACAACACAGGAAAAATGCCCAAAGTGGCCAGAAAAGAACAAACAGAAAGGGGCAGAGAAGCTGCAGCGGCGGGGAAAGGATTTTACTACCGGAGCGCCAGCAGCCGGCGCGGGGCCCGGAGGAGAGACAGGCCCCCGGGGGGCCGACGGGAGCGGGGAGCGGGGAGCGGGGAGCGGGGAGCGGGGCTCAAGCGCACCGCGCCGGCAAGGGCTCCCCGGAGGCGACAACAGCGCGCACAGACGACACACAAGGGAGCGCGCGCGCACCGTGCCTCCGACGAGGGCTCGCGAACGCCTCGCACGCCCACGCGTGCACACACGAGCGTGTGCACGCGCGCCCGCGGGCGCACAGCCGGCCACCGGGCGCGGACCGTGCGCGCGCGAGCGGGGGCTCCCCAGCGCGCCGGCCTGCGCCTGCGCCAGCCCGCGGGGCGGTGCCGCCCAGGCCCCGGGCGCGCACGTCGTCCGAGCGGGGGGAGGGGCGGGGCCCGCCGTGACGCGGCGTGACGCGCGGGCGTCGCGGCGGC